TTAAAAAGTTTTGAGCCTATCAAGTAAGGGCAAATCCACTTGGGGAACCAAGCCTTTGCTTTATTACCCTACCATTCAGGCACCAACCTTATGTTTAGAAGATTTGTCGTGACCAAAAGATGAATAATTGACAGACGAAGACCCAACCCCAAAGTTGAGATTTTCTTCACTCAGCCAGAAAAGGGGATTACGCATTCAATCATCCATCCATCTGTTTTCCCAACTGAAAAATTCTGTCAATGGCCAATTTACTTTATGTAGAAGGTTGACACACCCAGCGAATCGAATTCCTTTCTCGAAAAAGGGAAATTTATCGACTTTCTAATGCACCATCAAGTTGATGATTTTAAAAAAATGCAGAAGTGAAAGGGAAATGAATGAGGAGAAGGATACCTGATATCATAATTGCTTGAACAGGAAAAACAGATTTTATTCAATAAAATACTGTTGTTACAAGAGCAGAGCATACTTTTTGGTAGAATGGAGGAAACCTAGTTCATCTGGCAAACTAAGAGGACATAAAGCAAGTTGTGGGGTAAGCTTGAAATAGAGGTCAGTGATTTTAATGTTAATCGAACAAAAGCAATCCCCAAATCCAAGAAATAGTGGAACTTAATGGCAGCTCTAAGTTAGCGGCCAATAAACTCGACTGGACAGGACCTCAGCTGCAATTTCAGTCGTGACAGTAGGTGCAGTATATGAAATAAATTTACCCAAGTGAATAAACCATTCGCTCCGACAGCTCTACACCCACCACCTTTTGGTATCTTTGCAACTGTGCTTCCAAGTAAATCCTTTTACTGGGGCTGACTGCTTGTTGTATCTCCTTCAGAAAGAAACAACCAGTGAGAATATAAGGCAAGATAAATTTTCACAGGCCACAACTCAAAGAAGTCTATCTGTATTCCTGTCCCCTATCCAAGGATTCAGGTTCCTTTCTCAGACACAATATTTTAATTCTACCATATTGGATTCATTTCATCCTATGTTGTAAAGAATTTTCAACTCCAAACAACAGCACTACCTATTATTTAAGGGGTTTATTATATTATACAGCAGTGCCAATTTTAGATAAGGAGACAGATGATACAAAAAAATGAACTTTCCCCTTTCCAATAGTTACATTCTTCTACTTCCATTTTCAAGAAAAGAACCAGGCAGGGGACACGGTAAAAGCGCTTTGAAATAACATGCAAGTACCTATATTTACATACCTTGTACTTACGTACCTTATATCTCACTTGAGATCCTCTCAACCCAATTAAAATTTTAGTCATATCCCCACCTTCAATTCCAGAACTTTCAAATCCAGGCTCAAGCATTTCTTCATCATCATCCATACGAACATCATTTCTGTCTTCTTGGTCAATCTCATCCTGTTGCAATTCCAAGGCACTTTCTGCAACTCCAGAATTGGAGAACTCCCCATTCTGTAAACTGGCATAATCAGATAAAACAGCATACTTCTTTTTGTCAAGTAGAGGCCTTGCCACATCAAATGGAACCCACCTGAAAACATTATTTCAGCTTATGAGACTTTTGATTGCCATATATATAGGCAAATCAAGCTATAAACACAAATGGGCTATAATCAAAGATGTATATTACCACTTAAGGGAATAATATCAGATAAATGGATACCACTTAAGTGAAGGGCAGTGAAGGGCTATAATCAAAGATGTATATTACCACTTAAGTGAATAACATCAGATAAATGGATACCACTTAAGTGAAGGGCAGAGAAGGGCTATAATCAAAGTAATATGATGAGGGGCTATAATTGAAAACGCATATCACTGTTTAAGTGAATAACATCAGGTAAATAGATCACTGATATGTTGAGAAAGCACACATCATTGGGCTTGGATTATTGATTAGTGACTAGATGCAGAACTTACTCGTATCGAAGAGGACAAAGAAGCTCAGATGGGCGATATGCTGCTTTATATCTCATCTTGCTGCAGGAATGTATATAATAGCCAAGATAATAATACTGAAGACTGGGGCAACTGACTTGATTCTCTTTTACCCAACCTATCTCTTGGATAGCAGAATACTTACCCAGTGATAGAAAGGCATAATCAGGGTCCCAGATTAAATATTTACTTGACAAACATCTAGGAAGGATATCTATAACACCAACTGCAACTAGCTGACCATCGATTAAGTATTGCTGATGGAAAGAGCCAAAGCCACAGGGAGGAACCAGACCATCATTTGATGGTTGAACAGATAATAAAGGAGTGTCAACCAAAAATCTCCTGTATGAGCTCTCTGTGACATGAGCTGGTGTATCATTGTGCACTTTAATCTGATATTTCTTATACAATTCATACTCTTCACGATCAAAACTAGACCTTTTTAAACAAATCTCAAGCTTCTTTGTTCCTTGAGAACTTATAAAGCACTTAGAAATAGATGAAGAGCTTTTGCTTCCACTCCCTGTCGCAGATTCTTCAGGTAGATTAACAATTTGAATGTCTCCATCTAAATACTCATCTTTTCCAGAGGAATAAAAATTGATATGTCCATTGCAAGCCCTAACGGACAGACCAGAAAATTTGGCCAACTGATTTAAAGAATTCACAACCTTCTCTGCAATACATTGAGACTGCTGGACATCCTTCCCAGCTGATTGTGCACGGTTCAATGTGGCTGCTATTTGGAAGGCAATGTTGCTTGTATATACAAGATCTTCTTTAACTAAAGGCTTCTTTTTGGAATGTGAAACCTTTTTGACTAAAGCTTTTGGCAATTGAATGCCTGAAGGAAATTCCCCACCCTCAATGCATGCATGCACTGCACTGTCAATTTGATTAGATAAATGCTGCATAAACTCTTCTGTGTTTTTCTCTCCTTCATTCTTATGAGACAAAGATTCATCTGCTGCTGAGCTTGAAACTTGACGGATGCAACTGCCAGTAGCTGGATCCTCTATAGGTCGAACTGGTTTTTTGACATCCAGTGTGCCATCTAGAAACCTAGGCATATACCAACATCAGAACTCAA